GAGTTTGGGGCCCATGAGCTTTTCCATTCCGTTTAGCGATGTTTCCCTATAGCGAAGGTTAATCCAGAATGGATTAACCTCGCTATGCGGGGCACCACTGTAATTTATACTGGGAAAAGGCAATTCAAACAGCTAACTAAATAATTAATCGAATTTGGTCTTCTGCCATAGAACAGACCCCATATTACATGTTATATGGCAAAGAACCTTCCCAGGAACATATGAGAGTGTTTGGATGCAGTGGCTGGGTGCACATGCCAAAGGAAACAAGGGAAAAAAGGAGACCAAAAGCCAAGAAAATTAAGTTATGGTTACTGGTAGAAGGTGTTTCTACTCCTTCTTCCCAGTTCTTCACTGCCACACACACCATCACTGACATCCCATTGACATATATATATGTCCCTTTCCTAGCCCAACGTTTGCCCTTCTTGGCAAGGGAACCACATTTTGGTTATTTATGTCCCACTACCCTGGTATAAAAGGCTGCCCCCAACTGTATTTTCTTTGCCACATTGACAGCAGCCCATGTTGCCTGTCATCTGACCAGTCCTTTACATGGTTCACACTGCAGCAGATGAACAAAATCCTTTCACAGCACAGCTGGGAGATGCAGGGGCAGGTGCAGATGTGGCCAGATAGGCATGGGACATCTGGTCTAGACGATTGGCAAAGTTATCACCGTCATCTCTTGGGATGGCTCTGCCCTTTTCCATATGATCTCCTTGCTGGCCTCCCCCCCCACAACCCCTCACTCCCACTCACACCCGCTAAACTGCCTCCAGCTCCGGCTGCAGCAGTAGGGGATAAGGAGGTCTTCCCTTCTCTGTCCCTGCACCCCATACTCAAGCACATGGAAGATTACTATGGCTGCCATGTTTCCCAGGGTCCCCAGAGCACCACTGTAGGTCAGCCTGGGAAATGTAGGGGATCAGATGTTGCTGAGCCTCCTTGTTTAGAGTTAATGTGTTGCACCCCAGTATGGGAAGGAAGAATCTCTCAACTAAAAGTGACTCTCCTCCCCTTCTAGTGCCAGAGTGAGGCTCGGAGCACAGCAGGAAAGGGGAGCAAGGGACTCCCTCCCCTGAAGAAGCACTGTCAGGTAAATCATTATTTTTGTGCCATGCTGTGTGTGTGTGTTCTTCTGAACAGTGCAAAACAACAGAAACAGATGTAAAGAAAAGTAAAGAGATGCCTCCTGCATTTTGTAGGAAGGGAATGGGTAGCAGACTTAAGAATATGACTTCCTTTGGTTTATGTGGAATATCTTAAGGCAGGCATTGATTGTGGCTGCACTGCAGATTCTACACGCCCATCGCCTAATTTGAAGAAAAGCAAAAAAGAAGCAAAAGACACTGTGGCTTAAGAAGGTCTGTGAAGATGTGCCAAAGGCAAGGAGCATTTCTGGATGCTCAGTTCCCTCCACAGATCAGGAAAGGTTCAGCATATGGATAGGTATGGCAATCCAGAAGGATGGACACCAAATCAAACTCAAGCTAAATAAGGAGACAAATACCACAACCATTATTCTGCTCCTGTATTTAGACTACATCCATGACAAAGCCTTCTGGTTAAGGATGAGGCTGAAGCAAACCATCAGGGAAGATGGTTGTTGTGGGTTTTTTGGGCTCTTTGGCCGTGTTCTGAAGGTTGTTCTTCCTAACGTTTCGCCAGTCTCTGTGGCCGGCATCACTACACACAAAAGACCAGCTAATGACACCCATCAACAACAGCAACAGATAATCTCTTCTCCTTAGCACAACAATACACCCACAACAATACACACTAATCACCCATCTACAAGAAAAAGACAAAAGCCTATCTCACAGCCATAAATACTACACTCCCAAGCCAACTACACCAGAGCACAGAGTGCTGTCCTCTGAAGATGCCGGCCACAGAGACTGGTGAAACGTTAGGAAGAACAACCTTCAGAACATGGCCAAAGAGCCCGAAAAACCCACAACAACCATTAGATCCCGGCCGTGAAAGCCTTCGCGAATACATCTGGGAAGAGTTTGGCAAGAGTAGGGAGAATCAAAATACCACACACAGAAGGCAGAAGAAGAAATTATGAAGAATGAAATGTGGGCTCAAGAGTTTTGAACATCCTGGTTTGACCTGGCATTGGTTAAGCACCTGAGATGTATGGCATTAAACTTCAAGTTTACAGAACACGCTCTCCTCCTCCAGGGTCTGAGCTTCATGGAGTCCTCTATGAGACTGGATAACCTCTCTACTACTGTTTCTCTAAAAATGTTGATCCATCTAAACTGTTGACAAGGTCAAGAAAAGAAAATGATTAAAATGGAAGATATACAACCCTTTGTACAGCCCATAAATCACCTGCAATAAATGAGTTTCAGAAGAAGGTCTTTTAAGATATCAGGAGAACTCTGTTCCCAGGACCAGTTCCAGCACAGATCCAGTAAGTCAAGGAGAGCATGGTCAGCAATAGGAATGCATCTGACACCAGTTCGTTACATAAGTACTGGCTAGCACACAGGTATAGGAATAGGCAGTATCTATAACCTTACCACAGGATTAGATCTAATCATGAGAATAGATCATAACTGCTTGGTCCCTAGATCAACTCTTGCTGGTCCTATGGACTGTTAGATATCTACAATGCGGCTGATGCCGTGGAAATAGACCTTAAAGCACAAAGCCAATGGAGAAAGTCAAGAAAAGGAGGACAACCAGATCCATGGTGCTCCATTCCACAAGGACTTAAAAACTTGGAAATGGGTTTTCTGGATTGCATGTTTCAATTCAGTTCAATGGCACATACCCTTTGCTCTTTTGAGGTAGCTACCCTGAAACGTGGTGGCGCTGTGGGCTAAACCACAGAAGCCTGTGCTGCAGGGTCAGAAGACCAAGCAGTCGTAAGATCGAATCCACGCGACGGAGTGAGCGCCCGTTGCTTGTCCCAGCTCCCGCCAACCTAGCGGTTCGAAAGCATGCAAATGCGAGTAGATAAATAGGTACCATCTCGGTGGGAAGGTAAACAGCGTTCCGTGTCTAAATCACGCTGGCCGTGTGACCACGGAAAGATTGTCTTCGGACAAAACGCTGGCTCTATGGCTTGAAGAGCGGGATGAGCGCCGCCCCCTAGAGTCGGACACGACTGAGTTGAGTTCCAATTATTTAGACAAGCTGGAATCACTTACTCATGGGAAAGCCAAAACCTGGTGTTATGATTGTTTTGTTTATATATATATATGTTTATGTATGTGTGTGTTTAAGACACACAAAATGTCTTCTTCTTATCATTTATTTATTTATTTATTTATTTATTTATTTATTTATTTATTTATTTATTTATTTATTTATTTATTTATTTATTTATTTGATTTATATCCCGCCTATCTGGACCAACGGCCCACTCTAGGCGGCTTCCAATACAAGATAAGACAATAAAAAGACAAAATATACATAATCATTCAATAGCGGTTATAATAAATAAAATAGAAAAAAGTTAAAAGAAAGTCCGGAATTAGCTGGAGGGAAGGCCTGGATGTAGAGCCAAGTTTGTAATTGGGTTTTAAAAGTACCCAGCGTAGGGGCCGCGCGAATCTCCGAAGGGAGGTTATTCCAGAGGCAAGAAGCCACCGCCGAGAAGGCCCAGTTTCGTGTCTTCTCCTTCCGGGCCTCTCTCAGCGTCAAGCTTCTCAGCCTCACCTCGTGACTCGCACGGGTGATCCAGGTAGACCTTAGTGGGAGCAGGCGTTCCGCCAAATATCGAGGTCCTAAACCGTTTAGGGCCTTGTAGGTAAGCATTAGAACTTTGAAGTCGACGCGGAAACGGATGGGCAGCCAGTGCAGTGCGTGCACTTAAACAGTTTGCAGAGAAAAAACTTCGCCCAATTACGACATCATTCTGATGTCAGAGAATTCTGTGTCTGTTTGGCCTGAGCTGTACAGTATTTGTGCCAACAGTAGTAACCCATCAACTTCTGTAATCAGGGAACCATTGATCTGAGTAGAGATGCACAGGAACTGAAAAACTGGTGGTTTATGATGGTTTGTGGTTCTTAGCTAACCATGAACGACCACAAACAAATTAGAAAACAAGCTGGTTCACAGTTCATTTTCAGGTTTGTGCTGGGGGTGGGGGGCTATCTGTGGCCTCTGCCTCTACCCCCACTGGGTGCTATTCTCAGAGGCAGCCGTTGGCTCCTGGCAGGGAAGTCGGCTGCTGCCTCTGAGCATCTGTCCGACTATCAGCTGAATAGGCAGAGACAGGCTTTGCTGTAGTCTTTAAAATGACTATAGTGGCCATTTACTACAGTTTGGGTCAGATTTGGCATGGATGAAATAATAATAAAGTACTTCAAAGTCACAGGTCCTGCTCTTTTTCCATCTCTTTCGTCTGTTGAAGTTGTTTGTTGTGTTCACAACGGTAAGTAATGAAATTTATTCTTTCTGCTACAGATGTCCCACAGTGCGTTATTGAGACTGTAAGTGCCAGTTAATGAGAAAGGGGTGGACTATCTGGGGAACCTGTATCTATTCTTCTCTGAGAGTCACTATACTTCTACTGTGTAGTACCAGAAATTCAAAAGTCTGCAACACAAAGCCTTCACCACCTACCTCTCTTTCTCTCTGTATCAGAGAGAGAGAGAGAGAGAGAGAGAGAGCGCTCCTTGTACAGCAGCGTGAGCCACAAGCCAGTTTTGAGGCCTGTGTCCACCTTCAGAGGAAGGTGCTGTAGTCTACCTGTTTTTCTTGAAATAATTGTTTCTTTGGGCATTATGTACAAAAGATTTCCATTATACTGTAGTCCACAACACCCTTGCCACGGAAATAGGGCCCTCAGAGCAATGTGGGGGCCCCTCAATAACCTGAGGAGGCATAAAATTGCATTGTTAAAATCAGGTTAGATTAGAAACACAATAGCTGAGGAAGGATGCCTGAGGGAAGCGGAGCGAGGAGCAGCAGTCGCAAAAAGCCCCATAGGACTACCAAGCCCAGAGTCCTCCGCGGCCGCCCCCTTTCTTCCTGTTATGCGGCTGATGAAACTGAAAGTGGTGCTGCTTCGGCTTTGATCGGGCAGTTTCACCTTCAAAACGTGCCCGGGACTGGGACAGCTGAGGGGGTTAGGGTTGGGGGAGGCTCGATCGCGGAGGGGGGGCAGGTAGCCAGGAAGAGCCTCGTCTCCTAAGGCCGCAAAGTATGAACGGGGGCGTGGAGTGTCTTCTCTCCGAGGAAGTGATCAATCTCACTCGAGGACCCTCAGGCAAGAAAGTTTTCTTTTAAAAAAGGTATTGGGGAAAAGGGGGGGGAGGCGCTGCCTCGAGCTGAGGAGATCGAGTGGCCTTCGCCGGACTTCCCTCCACACACACGCACACCGAGCAACTCTGGCTGGCCTCCTCAGGTTCAGCACGAAAGTGCCAGGCTGAGGCCTGCTGGGTGTCCCTCCCGGGGCTCCGGCCGCCCCCCCACACGCCCCCCCCCAAAAGGCTTGAGCTTTGCAGAGCCGCGGCGGTAAATCTCTTCTTCAGGGGGACGTGGGCGAGAGGGTGGGATCCTCGATGGGCCGCGGGGACCGTCCCCAACTTGGGTGCCTCGGATCGCTCCCTTCCGTGGCAGCCGAAGAAGGAGGCGGCTCTGCCTTCGCATCCTGCGCCCAAAGGCAAGGCCGTCTGAAGCTTGGCAGAGGTCTCCTGAAGGCGAGGGGGCGATGGCCTTGCCTCCCTCCCTTCTGGGGAAGAAGAGATCAGCCTTCTTCGGGGGACAGAGTCAAAGCGCGGAGGGAGGCAAACCTGCCCCCCCCTTTCTGGAAAGAGTAGTTGTGATTTTTTTTAAAATAGGAAAGATTTCAAGGTATTTCCCCCTCCCCCTCTAAGTGAGGAATGTATTGGACGGTTCGTATTTGTTATGTGCTGCCAAATCGCACCCAACTCTTTAAGAGGTGAGAGATTTAAGGAGTGCATTTTCTATGGCCATTCTTCAGCAAGTGCCCAACGGGAAGCAGGGAGTTGAGCCCAAGTCTTAACGAGTTTCTCTATCCACTCCACTTATTCTGACTGAACACTGAGGCGAACCCTGACAAGGGAGCATGTGAGCAGTTACCTACATACAAGCTAGGTGGGTCAGTCAAGTGGTCTAAAAGAAGATCTGCCACATTGCCTATATTGCTCATCGTATGCTCTAGCACCCTGACAATGGGACAGAAGAAGGAAAACAGAGTAGCTAAAAAGACATACCTGAGACAAGTCCCCAGGTAACACGGTATGCAGTTGCTCCACCCACACCTCGCCAGGTCACCAGCATACCTTGGGAAGAGATGTTCTGAGCAGACAATTGCTGCACTCCTGCCAGACTCACTGACCAGAGAGGTAAAAAGCAACAGAGAAAGTTATGATGATGTTTCAGATCCATTCAATACTCCATTCCTAATTTCACCATACATATGTGAGAGAACATGACTACCATGGGTTCAAGTTCTTATGTAAAAGTTTTTTTTAATAATTTATTTTTAACATAGGGTAACAGGAAAGAAAAAGGGATTGAGGTTAAGGGGAAGAGGAGAAACAATGACATACTAATATCCATTCTATACATATTGCCGTATCAAAATTCCAAATTGCTCTTTTTACTATTTTCTGCCTTCCAGATTTAAGTTCTCATTTTAATGCATGTTCTTCAAACGATGTCTGATGACTCAAACTATTTGTAGAATAAGTCCCATCTTTCTGTTGCCTTTTGTAGAGGAAACTTTCAGAATGCTGCTGCTCCCCTTTCTGTGGCTGTTTGGTGAAACAGCAAGAAAAGGGCACTCTTGATTTAGGAGCAGGCCCCTCACAAACAATGCAATGGACGTTATTTCCGAGCTGATGATGTGTGTAAGAGGGAGCCGGCAAGATAAAAGAGGCTGAAGTGTTTGGTCTGGGACTTGGAGAGATTCACATTCTCAAATGGTTGTAAGAATCTACCTCACAAGGTCGTTGTGAGGATACAGTGAGAAAGAGAGAAGCAGAGATAGAAATGGAAGTGTTCAATGTTACGTTTTTCCATGGAAAGTTCTTCCAGATTGTATATCTCTCTGCTCATCTATAGTTGTCAGGGCTCTTCTACAGTACTCCAAATGGGAGTATTAGATGGACTAATTATAGGATGCGAACTTCTTCCAAGGTGTTCTTCAAAGGAGACAAGTGTTGACAAACCCTTGTGCTCAGCTGTCCATGGGGGATCCAAAAGATAACACACGAGAACCTTTTCCTATGCACAGTGCAGTTGGCATCTGATTGGGTCTGGACCACACTTATGTATGGAGCATTTCTTCTCAATAGACTAACAAATGAACCCACTGCTAAGCTTGGTTTTGTTTTTTTTGCAGAACAGGTGACAGGTGTTGTTATTGTTTTTGGAACTCAGGTCTGACGCCCTGGGCTTCATCATTTTACTTTAAAGTAGAGTCATGCAGGGGAGGGAGCTTCCACAAATGCAAGTTTTGCTGTGTGTGTGTGTGTGTGGGAGAAGTAAAAATATGGGATGTAGTGTTTACTACCAGGAATGGGGACTCAAGTTGCAGGACTCGCTATCAAGCCAGATTTAATTCACAGCATTAACTCAACTTGGATTTTTACCAATGACTTAACTCATGACTTGGGACCCACACACCCCGTCTCTTTTTTGGGGGGGAATAAACTTGCTTTTAATAAGGACTTGTACATGGGGCTTGGGGTTTAGGACTTGGTACCAAAGTCTTGGACTTGGGACTCGAACACAAAGATTTGCCAACATTCCTGTTTACTGCTATCAGATTTGGCAGGGATAGCAATGAGAATGAGAAAAATGGATCAGGGTAGAATATCACACACCTAGGTAGAGTAATGAGATGGGTTCCCCAAGCTGGAGGGTGAGTTTATGATACTTTCTCCTAGGAGAAGCACCAGCCTGTGTTGTGTTGAGCAAGCTAGACAGTCTCAGAGTTCCTCAGGAGGAGGAGGAGTGCTTTATAACTAGAAGACCCTGAGAAAGGTTGGCATGAGTCTGAATTGATGTAATGACACACAATTGTTATTGTCATGTAATGGAGAAGGACACTCTGGGAAAGAAGGCAAAGCAAGGAATCATTGGTGTGCCATATTCTTGGTCATCGTTCAAATCTTGCCTTTTATTTAAGAGCACATATACTAAATGCAGCTAGTCCAGTCCTCATTTGCATCGGAAGAAAATGAAATTCAGGCCACCTTTTAATAAGTTTGGGTCATGATGATTACTGTTTAATTTAGCAGAGTTGCTGATTTTGTATAATACTGTCTCAATAGCATTGCTTTTATTGGGTTTTTAAATCAATATTTCTTGTGATGGTTGCTTTTAATTGACTAATGTAATACTGTACCGTTCCACCCCATATGTATTCCCACTAAAGAAAGTTAAATGACTACTTTAAAACTTGAAGCACTGAGCAGTGTGTCATAGAGACATAAAGCACAAAAACACTTAAAAAGGGTGGTGGGGGGAAATAAGTTACAGTATTTCTCTATTAGTAGTGACATCTACTGTACTAGTGACATCTAGTGATGGATTTAAAGCATTATTTAAATAATTTTTTAGATTTAGAAGATTGCCAAATGGCTGTAAAGCAGCTGTGTGTTCCATTCTTGAAAGGTTTTAAATTTAAAAATAAATCTGCACCTGAGGTCAGCTGACTGATCATGTGAGGAAAACTTGCTGTTTTAGTTTTTTTCCCCCCCAAGTGCTGTGTATATCTGATAGTTCTTTTTCTTCTGTCTACGGTTCTCAGAGTTTGTTTTTTTACATACAGTTGTTTCTATTGTACATATCTTTAGTTGTTATTTTGCAGAAAATGCCTCATAAATATTGGTGTTCTGTGGAGAGGACATTTCTAGTACACTAAGTCAACAGGGAGATAAGTTATATGATAGTAATTGCATACATATGAGTCTGAAAAGAGAGACATTTCTGAAACAAACTACTCAGCAATTTTAGCTTATATTTTGTTTCCCCGAAAATAAGACCTAACCTGAAAATAAGCCCTAGTATGATTTTTCAGGATGCTCGTAATATGAGCCCTACCCCCAAAAATAAGCCCTAGTTAAGTGAAACCCCACACTCCAACATTGTGCAGCAAGCAGAAGATGATATGACTGTATCTGAATAAATTTAGATAGTTGTACATGAAAAAAAAAATCCCCTGAAAATAAGCCCTACTGTGTCTTTGGAGCAAAAATTAATATACGATCCTGTCTTTTTTCGGGGAAACACGGTAGATATGTAGACTGGGTTTTTTTCCTTTGTTTCAGTCAAAGGAGGTTGCACAGAATCTCCACCTGAACAAAGGTGGATCTCCTTCCTACTGACTGACTTTCCTGTTGCAGGTTTCTTGCAGGTGATTAATGCCGTGGTTTTGCTCCATATTTCTTTCATGGTGGTTTGAC